CAATAACCTGAGGTGGATCTCCTATCATCAATACATCCTGCCCAATCAGCATCAGTGAAAGCTTCCAGCTTCATGTGTCCATGTTTAGCAAACAGTATACCTTTCCCTGGAGTACCTTTCACATAACCCTTTCTGCAGCAGCTAAATGAGTATCTCTGGAAGAATGCATAAATTGACTAATAACACTTACTGCATAGCAATTATCTGGCCGAGTCATGCAAAGATATAACAACTTCCCAAGAAGTCTCTGAAACACCCCCTTATCAGATAAAAGCTCACCATCTGTAGCAGAAAGCTTATGATTAGGATCAATAGGAGTGGAGATTGGTTTAGCTCCAAGTTTACCAGTCTCAGCAAGGAGAGGTCAAGGGCATATTTACACTGAGAAATGAAGATACCATCCTTAGATCTAGCAACTTCAATGCCCAAAAAATACCGAAGATCTCCCAAATCCTTGGTCTCAAATTCAGAGTTGAGAAACCTTTTTAGTTTACTGACCTCTTGAGTGTCATTCCCGTGACCACAATATCATCAACATAAACTATCAAGAAGGTCACCAGAGAGCCATTTCTCTTCAAGAATAGGGTATGATCAGATTGAGTTTGTGTGTAGCCAAAGGAGACAAAAGAAGCCCTAAACCTCTCAAACCAAGCCCGAGGAGACTGTTTTAGACCATAAATAGATTTCTGCAATTTACACACCTTGCCTTGCATTTCCTTCCCATACACCCCTAGAGGCAAAGACATATAGACCTCTTCATGCAGGTCTCCATTTAAGAAGGCATTTTTAACATCAAACTGGTGTAGGGGCCGGTCAAAAGTAACAGCTAGATATAACAAAACCCTGACTGAGGTCATCTTAGCGACAGRAGCAAATGTCTCAAGATAGTCAATGCCATACATTTGAGTGTAGCCCTTAGCAACCAGCCTAGCCTTAAACCTCTCAATAGAGCCATCAGAGTGATATTTAATGGTAAACACCCATTTACATCCCACTGGTTCCTTCCCTTCAGGCAAGTCAACAATATCCCTGGTATGGTTCTTATGCAAAGCATCCAGTTCAGCCATCATAGCATCCCTCCATTCAAGTTGAGATAAGGCTTCCGGTACGGACCTGGGTATCACATGGGAAGAAACAGATGCAAGAAAATAGTAGTAGGACGGAGAGAGAAGGTTGTAAGACAGGTGTTTGGAGATACAATGGGCTATACACTTCCACTTGCCCTTGCGGAGAGCAATAGAAAGGTCAAGGTCTGGGAAAGCTGTAGATGGGTCAGAAGAAGGCTGACTTGTTACCTTAGTAATGATGAGAGGAGCAAGAGGCTCTTCTGTAAGAGTGGAAACAACATGCCCATGTCTGAATCTCTACCTTTGGTACCACCTTCGGTGAACAGGAGGAGGAGGAATTATAGGAGAATGAGGTAGGAGAGGAGGAGGAATAGGAATATCGGAGGTAGGTCCAGTGGGAGAAGTAGACACCTCATGATAGGACTCAAGAGGAATGGGAAGAGGAATAGTTGGAGACATAGCAAAGGGCTCTTATGATTTCTCCCCCTTAGGAGAAATGCTAAAGAAACGAGTCAACTCAGCAAAGGTGACACCGAGATACAAAGCGGGTGCCACGAACTGGATCAAAACAGCAATATCCCTTTTGTGTGGAAGCATATCCCAGAAAAACACATTTATGAGCCTTAGGTTCAAACTTGTGCCTTTGATGACTGTGAATATGCACATAGCAAGTTCACCCAAAAACACAGCGAGGAAGAGAAAAAATATCCTCATCCRGGAAGAGAAGGCTAAAGGGGGTTTTGAAGTCAAGGACCCGGGAGGGCATATGGTTGATCAAAAAAGTAGCAATAAGAACAGCATCTCCCCAAAATTTTATAGGAACATGGGATGCAAACAAGAGGGATCTGGCAACTTCAACCACACGTTTGTTCTTCCTTTCTGCCACCCCGTTTTGTTGTGGAGTGTAGGAACAAGAACTTTGATGAATAACCCCAAAAGTTTCAAGATAGGTGGAGAGGGTTCTCTCAAAATACTCCTTAGCATTATCAGAACAGAATATTTTGATACGAGTGTTAAACTGGGTGAGGATGAGTTCAGGAAATTTTTGCACAATAGCTAGTACTTCAACCATGGATTTCATGAGATAAATCCAAGTGTAACGAGAGTAGTCATCAATAAAAAGGATAAAGTACCTGTAACCCCCCATAGTTGGCTAATGATATGGCCCCCACACGTTAGAGTGAACAATATGAAAAGGAGAAAGWGATCTTTTATTGCTTACTGAATAAGAATGTCTACAATGCTTTGCCAGTTCACACGACTCACAATGAAGACTCGATAAAGACACTCCCTTAAACATATCTGGAAACAAATGACTCAAAGCAGA